ATTTAATAATATTAAGAATATTAAAATAGTATTAAAATAGTAAAAATCGTTAAGCAAAAGGTGATCCAAGAAGTGAGAAGTGGGCTTTATTCGCCACGCTACTTCTACATCAGAACGTTTTTGAAACATCTGCACGATTGTGTCCCCTGTCACGTTTATTATACAATTATTATACAATGTTTCATTCAAGCTACGTCTTAAGAGGCTACACCACGCCAAGGCGTGTAAAAATAGATAAAATTTAGGATCTTCATTCATAAGTAATTATTCAAAGAAAAATTTCAATTTTAAAAATAACTTTCAAGTTCTTCTTCCAATTTTCGAAAAGTGAAAATATTGCAAAATGGGGAAGTTATTGCGATACCTCTTCTGCTAAAACGTGGATTGCTGGTCGCCATCGGCCACAAAGATTGAAACGACTGAAACAAAACAATTCTTTTCGATTAATAAATAAAAATGTATTACTTGCAATGTAGCCTATGATTTTTTCAATGTCTCAGATATTCAATTTTTTAGAAACGTTTTTTGATTTTTTTGGTAAAAAGTGGTTTTACCTTCTCAAACTATCACCATTTCTATAACAAATGCAATTTTCGAAGAAGTGTACGCTGCATTGTAGATAATACATTTATATTTATAAATCAAAAAGAACTTTTTATTTCAGAAGTTCCAATCCTTGTTGGCGATATCTGCTAGCAATCGATGTTCTAACTGAAGACGTTTCACAATAACATCTCCATTTTGCAACATTCGTACTTTTTAAAAATTGAATAAAAAATCCGAAAGTTACATCTATATCCCCCAAGAAAATTGAAACTTTTCATGCAGTAGTTACACCTGGAAAAAATTTCCAAGCTTTACCTATTTGTAGACGCCTCAGGGTGGTGTACTCCCTTTACACTAGAAGGAGAGGCCGGGACATAATGATTCATTAGCAACATTCAGAAAGTGAATTTCTATGTAATTTAAATTCTGTCAAAATCTGTGTTACATTTCTATGTAACAAACACAGAAACAACCATGCAGGAAACAAAGTCAGGAAGTTGCAAACGATAACACTCATCACTATCGAAATTTTACTATTTTTTAGAAAGTTGCTAACAAATCATTTACACCTGGTAAGCGCTTCTGGTGTTAAGAAAACCTACCTGCCGAAGAACTGAGGGTTCTTCATCAGATTCACCGGTTTATCCGGGATGACCGCGTTGTCGATGAGGGGTGCGAATGCTGGAACGTAGCTCGGCTTGTGGATCTTCACGTTGAGCAACGTGTTCACGTCCTGGCCGCGTAGACAGAGGGCCAGATCGCTGTCGGTTGTCGTGGGACAGTTTAGAGCGTGTGCCACCTGAAAAATGATCCTCGGTTATTCCTCAGCGACGCCTAATGAACACGTTTCCGGCGTCTACAATGACAAGCAGCATTTCTTCCCTGTGGTTGTTCGAATCGCGGCCACGAACCTGCTTTCAGTTCCTGCGAACTCGATCGAACACGTACACACACATGAACGCGTTTGGTTGAAGCGTAGCCAGGAAAGGGAAATCGATCTTCCGTCGACGCCGCGTCAGACGCGTCGAATTGAAACGTTCCTTCCACCTCGAGCTAAATATTGCCCCACAGCGGCGACCACTTTCCCTTTTCGCCGTGTAACGATCGTGTAGTCGATGTTGGAGCTCTGAGTTGGTGGTTTTAGGAGAGATGGATTGGGTATGTTATAAATTTCTAGGGACATTTATGCGGGTTAGGGAAACGTGTCTCGGGGGGATTGATAATATCTGATGCGGGCAAATTGCTGGTATTATTTAGTCGAATTTCAACTTGGATTTGGAAAGTTGTTGGATGCATGAGTTATGGTTGAATGAACTTAAGCTTGATATAAGGATAAAGATTTGCTTATCAGCGGCAATATGAGTTTTATGAGAACGCCTCATGGAAAATGTCCCTCCATCAAGAGAGAACAAGTTAAGCACTCGTACCGAACACCGGGAGAACAATTTAAGGACTCGTACAGAACACATCGTATAGAACAGAACAAATTAAGAACTCGTATAGAACAGAACAGTATTCATAGCACAAGTATTAAACAAGTATTAGAACATTGAGCTTCGTCATTTTGTAACAATAAAAACTGTGTCGTAAATAACGGTGTTTATTTACTAAATAATCTAATTCCATGGAACCGTGGAATTAGCACCAACTAAATAGATAAAACCTTCTACCGGTACCAAGCTTGTGCATTAGATTTGCGAGCTACTACGGGAAATTCAGTTTGAGTTTATCGCTGACAGAAAAACCACACAAACTTTCCCCGGTACCTAATTCTTATAACAGATAGTTACTGGTAGTCGGACCACAAATTTCACTGCGTGTAGAAGTTGCAGCCACGGATGATGTTTGGACTTGGAAAGTGGCGATGATTTGTATCCCAGAGAATTGGAAACTTCGAGAAAAGTTCCAACGCCGTGCATCAATTTTCATTTATAGTTACCTGTTTGGTGATTTGCAGAGGTGCCTTCCCGATCGCATCGGCGCTCAAAGCAGATCCGGACATCAGTATAGCCCGGTTGAACAAACCTGCGAAGATGGAAGCACGATTAATGACCCGCGTCACCCAGGATCAGACCAACAGCTGCCACCACACGTAAAATATTAAGTCCGGTTATTTTTCATTGCACAATATAATTATTGACCGGACACCCCGGCATTGTGCTTCCAACCGAACAGGGGAACTTCCCTTCGGCTGAAAAATGACCGTTTTCCTATCTTCTTGTCCTTCCTTCCATATAACGCTTTTTCTCCCTTTTTGTCGAGGCCTTCTGGGAGAGCACACGAGTCATTCAAGATGATACCGTGCGTTGTAATCTCGATTTGATCGCAATTTGTACGTTCCGAAACGTAGTTTCGAAATAATCACCGAATGTCTGACAATCGGTCGACTTGTACTACTCGAAATTTTCGTGGCTGACAAATGGTCGAGTTCTACTTAATTTGGCGTTACTTATTTGGCACTTTGACAATGTTTCTCAACAGTTACGTGTTTGTAGCATGATAAAATACTTGCAAGCATTATTTCAATTGCTTAAAAAGTCACGGAAATGAGTTCGAAGTAAAGTACATTTAAGAATCTAGACTACGATCGAGTAAAATTGCCATGAGCTTCGTTCTCTTGATCGACTCGACTTAATAGCGGCATGTAAAGCTCGCGTTTACTAAAATCGAAGTCCCTAAACCGGCGGGAGGTCTTATCGATTTCACGAAAACGGAGGTTACGTGTACTCCCCCACTCCTGAAAGCGTCCTCTTAATATTCAGGCATCGCAGAAGTCGCAAACACGCGATACGGCAATAACCGTTACCTTTCTTATTAGCCACAGGGCTGATAAGCAGTAGGTTGGCAAAAATGGCGCCGGTACCGTGGCCGACTAGCGTAATGCTGTCCGGATCGCCACCGAAATCGGCGATGTTCTCCCGCAGCCATAACAGCCCTGCTATTTGATCGAGCAGCCCGAAATTGCTCGCCGTGTCGTCCCTGATCCCAGGTCTCAAGAAACCTGCAACAAAATTTTCTAAATCGTACCAGTTTCCTAAATACCGCTACTCCTTTCGCCTATTTTTCTAATCTAACATAAGCTTGCAGATAAGCTTGCGCATTGCTTTCTACATATTTTGGCTCGCGGATTTGGGATTAGAGATTCTTACAGAATAGGAGTGATTTTAAGTTAATAGCCACTGTAGTTCATCCATACAATTCCTCTTTCGCAAATTTTTATCGTCATCAGAAACACTAAACCTTCGGACGGCGGATGCCGGGTCATTGCTGACCTAGTTTTTAAATGTCTCTTTTTTCAACCGGCATTAATCGAAATAGAGTCACGTCTCTCCTCTCTTTATATTCGGAACGTTACTTATTTTAATCTCTAGCGACATCTCTTACACTCTGCCACCAAAGGGACGGACTAACCGAGAATTCTCGCTAGTCCTCATAAAGGCTCTCGTTTGTATATATAGAACTTCTGACCTGAGCCTTCCAGCCCCCACCCCTTTTCTCCCGTAAAGCCTTACTGACGAGTCCACCAGGATTCCCAGGACAAGGAACTCCCACAACCTTTTCTTTTCCGCCTATCCTCTCTATCAGTGACCTTCACCCCTTCAAAATAATAATACATTTCTGTAATTTAAACAATGTAATGCCTAATAAGCTTTAAAAAAATTTATTATTGGGTCATATTTGACCCGGCATCCGGCGTTCGTGCGACATTACACCATCCGCTGTCCGAGGATTAATTATTAATAAGAATCTACAGATTCGCAGTGACAATTTGTCTCGTTCTATTAACTTGCAGCGAACCTACTTGCCGCTCATTTCTAAGATAGCACAGAATCACTACAATCCATCCATCTCGAAATGGAGAAAGAGCAGAAAAAGAAGACACAACGAAACAGCCAGCTTACTACAAGGTGCACCAAAAAATCAGCCCGGGACGTAAAGCAGGCCGGAGTAACCTGCTCGTTTCTTTTGCCTGCGCTCGCTATCCATATTTTTCCCCCGTTGTTTTGCAAAGGGCTGAAGTTATCCGTAGCTCTCGCGAGCCAACTGTAGCCGACTACTAACCTACCCTGTAGGTGGGGGTGAAATTAACTAAGCGCCTTCCCAGCACTTTAACCTAATTTATGATTATGGTTTCGCGGCAGCTTCTTCATTTTTTTCCTCTTGCCCTCCTTCCTCCGCTCTCTCGCCCTTCCTCTGTCTCTCCTTCGCTCTTCTTCTCACCTCCCCCACTCTGCGTGTCGGACGTGGCGGCGCGGCCACCGTCTTCCGTCCATTTGCATTGCGCTCTCGCGGAGGTCGCGTTATCATTTTAGGGCAAAGGATAGGCGGAAGCTGGTCGTTGCGAATACTCAACTGCCCCGACGACCGGGTAGAGGGGTGTGGAAAAAATGGAGCAGGCCACGGGAAAAACGGCGAGGATCGATGGAAGTTTCGGGGGCAAAAAGGCCGCCTTTGTCTCGCGGTCGAGCCTCCTTTCCCCGGGAAAAAATTTTTCTTCCGACACAACTCGAAAACTTTTCCTGTCATCCTCGCCCCTTTCTTCATCCTCGTGTGACGAATAACCCTTTCATTTTCGCGCGATGAATATACTACCTCGTTTCGAAATTCGACGACTGTACTTCAGCATATTTTAACGCGACTTGCAAGATTATACCGGTTCAAGTTATTGAATTGAAATTTGCTGTAATATTACAGTAAGAGTGCAGCTTCGTGCCTTTTTTATTATCAGTTCCTAAGAAAAATAAACCGTCCCATGGAGACGTGTACTTCTTGCAGGGTTTAATTAACTTTTACGCGTTCTTCACACGCCAACGTAATTTCGTGCGTGGTTTACTGAATAACAGCTTCGAGAGAAGAACGTTGTTGCGTTTGACGTTGCCGACTCGAAATCTCGCTTCGAGAAATGTTCCGTGAAATATTCCGAAACTATTGCCATTGGTCGGTATTTATCCCAGACGGGGTAAGTTAGAAAATGGAAAACAACAGAACCGGATATTTTACAACCGTTTGTGAAAATTGAAAATTCGCTGTTTGCCTGCTGCAATCCATTGCAACGACATTTATTTAAAAGGTTCGATTTTTAGCATGCCATTTACCTCGTATCTGACGAAACATCAACGAAATGAAATTTGATTTCTTCGGTAAAGCACAAAACGTACGGCTAACACGCGACGATAATAATAACGATAGATTCCCAAGTTGGAGAAATCAGATATCGACTCCAGTATACTTCGATAAGAGATTCCAAGGAATAAGTTCTCGATCCATTCCCGTCGAATTATACAGGAACGCGTACTCGCACGAATATTAACCGAGGTCCCGCTGTAAAAATTCGTCTGGAGGAAAGTTTTTCCCCGGGAAAACTCGCAGGCTGCACCGTGTTATTTATACGAGCGGACTGTAAAAGATATCGGGAGACGATAGCGGTGGTCCCGTGCGCGCGATGACGGATCGATAGACAGGCCGCGGAGCGTGGAAAGGAGCGGAGCGAAGGAGGCGGGGACGAAGGGAGAAGGTGAAATAAAAAGAAGTTGGTCGAAGATCAAAAACCGATGGCGCAGCGAAGCGCGAACGTTAATGAAGCAGAATTCCTGATTTCATGCGACGCTGCTGCCGGCGGCGTTCGACAAGATTTCATAAATTCGTATCGAGACGACAGCGCCTCGGCTTGCTCCACATTTCCTACAGATGAATTTTCAGATCCAGAACGATTACCTTCGATTCAAAGTGCCTCTGCCTCTTGTCTCTCCTCGTCGTCTTTTGATCTGGCCCGGAATCGACCAAAGAACGTGCCTGGGACGCGTGAACGCTTGATTCGTACTACTTGCCACGAACTATTGACTCGTACTACTGCTGCAGGTTCATTTTACACGGGGAATACTAAGATTGCGATTTATCTCTATTTTGTTCTATGCACAGAATGTATCGGCGTGTAGTCTATCATATTTTTCCGACCTTTATACCTGCAGTATTAAATTTGACGATTTAAAGCGTAACCAATGCGCTACAGTACAGTACAGTTACTCAAAGCTTAAATTATAAATTTTTGACACTGCGTGGGATTTTTTAACAGCCGTGTCTGGCCACACAACGATCGATTCTACTTACCAAGTATACCCAGGCGAAAGTTGATAGTGACGAAGACGACACTACCATAAGCTGCCAATATAGTGCCGTCGTATGGGTTGCCACTGTTCCATTCGAAACTTTCCCCGTGGATGAACACCATCACAGCGTACTTCCGCGCAGTCTTTTGACCTGGAGACAAAAGGGTTGCTCGACATTAACGCCAACCCATGGAAGATGAACGTATCGCGCTCGTTCCACTCCGCTGTATTATAAATGTGTACGACTACAACGAATGATAAAATGAATTATACCGCGTCGTAATGGAAAATTTACTCGAAAATATTTCCCAATCAAATCGTGTAAATTATCGAACGTCCCGGTTTATCTGTCAATTACGATCTCGTTCGGAGAATGTGGAACGCCACGTTAATTGAATCCGGTGATATCTCTCGGCGGTTCTGTAAAATTTGACGGATAAACGACGGAATAAATTTTTGCTCGTTAAACCATAGACGCAAAGTGTATTGGATAACCACGGTAAATTCGTCCGGGGACCGAATAAAACGAAGGTGAATAATTATTTATCCGTGACTCATCGGTTCGACACAATAAACCGGAACATTCGAAAACATACCTCGTCAGCAACGAATCACCCCTTACGGAAGAAAATATCACTCTTAAGGGTATCCAGCAACAATCCCCCTCGGATATCAAAGGAAACACGAGCATGTATCTTTGTGGAAATAAAAAAAGAAATATGATCTAACAAGGGGAAAAGGACAAACAGGACAGTGGAAGCTACCCCTTCTGTTAAAACATCCCTTCGAATTGCTTATTACCAACGGTAATACCATGTAAATCATGATCCTCGCAAGGGTGTGTCCTCACACTGGCGTCATTTTTCACTTTTTCCCTTTTTTCTAACAACAGCGATTTCTCTGATTTATGCCTGTAGAAAAATTATCAGCGAAGTTCGCCTGTGAACGGGTGGTACACGCGTGAGCCAGGTCAGTTCCAGAATTTATCATCCCCTCCCCAACACAGAGCCTGTTCGCGAACTATTCACAGTGAGTTTTCGGTATTAGGGTATCTATAAATTCTTCTCTCCCATCCTGTAGACGACGTAGTTTCCTTCTAGCGAACGATCCACAAATTAGACTGGAACGAACACACCGAACCCACACACCCCTCCACCAGACTCTCGAGATTTATTGGGGAATCTGTTTTACACGATTCCAGTTTCCTTCGAGCAACTAACTTCGCGCTGACATTTGAATACCGCTGCAGATCCGCTTGGAATTAAATCATACCTCGTCCTCGTGTACCTCGATGTTGGATCAATTGTCTCGGCAGTTGATAAATGTACGCTGTACTTGCAAATTGTTATTATTCTTCGAAGAAGTTAAGATTTTATTATAGACTACGAATTTTCAGAAAAGAGTTAGAAATTTTGTACGCTTTTAATGAACTTTCTATGACAGACTGATTGCTGTGCATGTATTTTCAAAAAAGGGTTAGAAATTTAGGATACTTTTAACGAACATTTTATGATAGACTGCCCACTATGTATTTTTAAAAAATGATTAGAAATTTAGGACACTTTTAATGAACTTTCAATCACAGGCTTATTGCTGTGTATATGTTTTGAAAAAATGGGTGGAAATTTATGATACTTTTAATGAACATTTTATGAGAGAATGCCCACTATGAATTTTGAAAAAATGGTTAGAAATTTGGGATACCTTTAACGAACATTTTAAGATAGACTGCCCACTATGAATTTTCAAAAAAGAATTAGAAATTTAGGACACTTTTAACGAACTTTTTATGACAGACTGACCGCTATGAATTTTCAAAAAATGATTAGAAATTTAGGATACTCTCGATGATCTAATGATAGACTGACCGCTATGAATTTTCGAAAAGGGATTACAAATTTAGGGCACTTTTAACGAACTTTTTACGACAGACTGACCGCTATGAATTTTGAAAAAGGATCAGAAATTAAGGACACTTTTAACGAACTTTTTATGATACACCGACGACTACGAATTAGTCCGAAATTTCAAGCACATCAGTGAATCTCCTATGATCCAAATCTTCACAAAACGGAGTAAATTGTAATTAACTCCTGCAAAATTAATTGCGTCCTTTGTCACTGTGTTACATTTCAATCTTACCAATTATGCAAGAATTTCAAGTATACTCAAACACTCAAAAACTGCATCTTCTTTCCATCCCAATTTTACTTCAGTGAATCATTGCTACAGGAATAATTACAGTACACCCGAAACAAGAGGAAATTCCTCAGTAAACCCGTATCACAGACAACTTCCACGATCCCTCCCCTCTTGTTCCCTCAACCCTCGTGCTTTTCCCAAGAAACGAACGTTCCTTCGAAAGCCTCTGCTGGTTCCTGCTTCCGTAATTTCCGCCGGAAGACACGGAAACCCCGCGTCTTCCTCTCTCTTCTTTTTTCCTCAGCAGGAGGAAGAAATAATGGCGCGCGTGTCCAATCTCGAAAGCTGGCGTCCGTTTACGAGGGAGGGAAAAAAACCGCGCTTTATTAGTGTCCACCGTTGGCTGGGACGGGTATCAGTAATCCTTCGCTTAATATTTCGCCCGGCTAGCCGAATTTGTTATGCTAATAACGCGTGCATCTTCCGCGTAAGTTGACCCGTATTTCTGTTAACACTATGCCGCCCGCACGCGTAATCCAGATTCTTTTCTTTGGCGCCGGCAGGACTGGTTCAGATCTTTTCGCCTGTCGCCGGGGGTTTTTCGAGATTTTCGGGAGATCATAAATTGTGAAGTTCTACTAATCTCAATAGTTCTCAATCCTGTCACTCCATTTTCACGAAATTTCGAGGATATATGTAAATAAATGCAAAATATGATCGTATTGCAACCTGTAACTTATTGTTACTTGGACAGAACACAAGCGATACTGGAGTCTGTGCGATAGGTTCCCATAAGACACCAACGTGGTGTCACCGGCATGTGTCCGATAATTTTCGTAGGGCACCAATGTGGTGCCACCGGACGGCATAGTGTTAAAGGGAAAAATTATGGCTGATAAATGTGGCAAGGAACGAAGGAGAGTGGAAGGTGCACGAGCGTGTGTAGAGACGTGGTGACGAGCTATTAACGCGTTTATGGACTGTCAGCGAAGGATCGCGCCCTCAGAGACCGCAAAATGAATCGTTCCAACCCTCGGCCATGGTTGAAACGACACGTTTATACGAGCTTCTTCCCCATTGCCGGTCTTTACGCGCCGCATGGTCATTATCTGTATCGCTGTATTAAGTCCTAGTCCTTTATTAAGGGAGGAGAAGCTGGAATATCGCGGCTTTAACGAGGGTCTGCTTTTAAAGAGAAAATCGAGAAGGAAAGAATTTTCTAGCAATTATACCTGCTACTTCCTTAACTCTCCGTTACACACGCAACTTATGCGCGAGAACGTAACTTCGCGAAGTTTAACTACTTCTTTCTGTATTTATTTTTATTTAATTTCTTCTCGTGTTTTTTAATGGCAAGTTTACCATTTCAGCGAAGTTTAACTCCCTCGTTCTGTGTTTATTCTTGCTCGATATTTAATATTTTCTGGTATATTTTAATAGCAAATTCAATTTACAAATTTATTTACCATTTGAAATGTTTTTAAGCGTGCACGTATTGAAGCTACGGAAGGATACTGTTTCTCTATTAGGGTGGTGCATATGAGAGGACATTTTTTGGAATGAAACTTTAAGTACACTGTGTTTCATCAAAAATTAATGTATTCTACGATCCTATACACTTTTACCAACGATTAGATAGTTTCAGTATTCCAAATATATAAAAAAACACTTGTCTTTGAATTCAAAAATTCTTTGAATGCTACTTTCACAGAGTTTTCACTTCGGAATAATTTATTCGATTACACGTTTCATTTGCACCAACATAATATTTATGAGTTCAGTGTTTCACTTTGGAGTCGTTACAATTTTGTGTAAGTTATTAAATATTTGGTACTCGCGTAACACGCTCCGCGAATCTTCCGATTATTACTATTATTATTATTATTATTATTACTATAATTTTTGTTGTATAAACATAATCTAATAGTTTCTGAGGACTCGCAGTCCTCGACCACTTTTAACGGAGAATTAATGATTATTTACTATCAATTGCTACAACGTAGCAAAAACACTGCATTTCAGAAAATAGGAACAAGAACAAAACACAAACAATTTGCAAAAAAATGAAAATACAAGGAGGACGAAGAACAGTACATGAAATTGTATTTATAGTATGAATAATTCTGTACGTTCTTTGAATACTAAGAAGAAAAAAGAATAATTCAGACGAACGATTAATTTTTATCAGATGAACGAACGATCTTCCGAACCTTGTCACACGACAGACAAAAGTCTCGCCTTGTATCTCCAGAGTTAACACGTCCATTGTATATCAGACGATGATGAATCCACTGCACGAACCACGAAGACGAGCCACCCCGTTGAAACGGAGATGCTTGGGCCTCCTTTTCACGCGGCCATTTGCTGGCAAACGGAACAGAAAATAGGTCGATACGATCTCTGTGAAAGCGGCCACGCGGCGCATTTATTATTGCACGAGTGGCTTCCGTATGATCGCATCGACCTACTTCCCTGTCGCGTTTTTACCACTGCGAAATGGCCCCGCTGAAAATGCGTCCCGCGTGGCCCGCGGAACATCGACGGAAGTAACATCGCATAGCTGTAATTTCGATATTTCCATTGTTCGTACACTTACACCACGTTACAGCCCTTCCACCTCGACCATTCTACACGGTGAATTATCGTCGCGATGTACCTTGCCAAGAAAGAAAAGAAAAAGGAAGAAAAACTGAAATCACCTGGAAGGTGAATTTTGAAAAGGGAACGTTCGTGAAACTTTTTTTCTTTTTCTTTTTTAAGCTGCGACGAGCTCGACGAGATTCTTTCGTAAAGCAATAACCAACGAGGTCAGCGCTCGCCGGTTAAAATATTAGAACGCCATAGCGCGCAGCGTGGCTCGGAAAAACCTCTGAAATTCTATTCAATTGGACAGGCAGGGCCGCAAGAACCGAGCAGAAATACGATCACTTTTGTTATCGTGCGTGTGCATTCTTTCCCCGTGTGTTTTTTATACCGGTGCTTGAATAGAGAGTAGGTTTATGTACTAAT